CAGTGCTCCTTTAGAATAGTTTAAAATGGAGGTTTCACAAAAATCTCCAATCCTTAAAGGTTATAGTGACTCTCTCTTTTAACAGATTTCAATAAAATTTTTGAGAGTAGTATTTTTTATGGGCTTTATACATGATTTGTAAAATATTATATTCAACCAAATCATAAAATTTCAATCATTTCAAATAATGAAATAATATATTTGTTGGCTGACCATAGCACTTTATACTAATAATTCTTATTGCTCGTTTTTTGTTAAATGAAAATAGGATTTATTGTTGTTTTACATGCTTTTACCCAAATGTAACACAATCATTACATTTTACAATATATACAGTTTCATCATTCAAAACACGTTTTACTTTATACAGAAATGTTTGCAAGGTATCTTAATTTGTGTATTTGAAGTAAGATTTTTTTTTGGGTAGGCCAATATAGTGGTGTTGGATACTTTGTGGCTGAGTAACTTTTTTTTTTTTTTTTTTTGCAGATTCACACAAATTCTATTGATGGTAATAATTTACTTACCAGTAAATGTCATCAAGTATCAACAAGTCTTTAGTGTAACATGTGCAGAGCTCCAGCAGTATAAACACATTATATGGCATCATATCCAGGGTGTGACCAGGTTTACTATAAATACTTCAAGGACTTGTCATTCAGGGCCTTTTTCTGGAGTCTTTGAAATGAGGGAAGAAGATTCATAACATGGACCAAGTCTGAGTTTTGTGCTGTAGTTTTGCATGTTTGTAAATAAAAATTCAAGTCTGAGAATTGAATTGATCTCCTGCCCAAAACTTTATCTCTCATTTGAACATGATCTTTCAATAGCAGATGCTGTAAAAATTCTGAATAATTAGAAAAACTGTATATTTATAATGGGTGTCCTGAAACCAGTTTCTTCTCAAACCATGTACATCTACTACAGTTTGGGTACTCATTAATACAGAGTATCAATACACAGTATTTAACGAGTTAGACAAGATTTTTTTTATTTGTCATTATGTTGGTAGAACATAACAAAATTGCTGTGCTGCCCTTGGTGATAAAAAAAGGTAATAGTAAAAAGGGGCTGAGGGAAAGTGGGTGGAGGGATCATTTTCACAGCTCTTGGGAAAAAGCAGTCTTTCAGCCAAGTAGTAGTTACCTTTATGTTCTTATACTGTTCCCAGACAGCAGCCGTCTAAACAGTTCAAGTCCTAGATGGGTGGGGATCAATAGGTACACAACTGGCCTTCCTTTGCAGGTCCGGCAGCCAACCTCCCACAATCTCTTGGGCAGTTTTAACAACCCGTGCCAAGTCCTTCTTGTCCCAAACTGTTCAGCTACTGTGCCACACAGTCTTATTGAGGCAAAGGATGCTCTCAATCTTGGGGAAGTAGAAGTTCTTGAGCAACTTAGTGGGGGGTCCAGACTTTTTCAGTTTCGTGAGAAAAAAATACTCTTTGTTCAGTCTTTCTTGTCAGAAAAGACGTGTTCAGTGACCARGTCAGATAGAAGTGATGTGGATGATCTGGAATTTGACGTTGTCTACACTCTCTACCACCTTCCCCCGGATGATGAGAGTTAGGTGCTCTGTCCTCCTGGACCTCATGTAATCTATTATGACTTACTTAGTCTTGCTGGTGTTAAGCACCAGGTCTTTTTTAACAAATACCTCTGGGATAGGTGCTGAATTTCTTCTCCGTGGAAAATGTCATCATTGTTTGTTTGAGGCACACCACAGTGCTGTAATCTGCAAACTTCAGAACCCTGTTTGAGTAGTGGATGGCTGTGCAGTTGAGGGGTGAAAAGTGTAAAAAGAGTCAGACTGAGCACACAGCCCTGTGGTGTGCCTGAGTAGGACCAGGGTGGATGATGTTAGGTCCCCTATTCTTACCACCTGTGGTCAATTGGTAGGAAAGTCCCTAATCCAGAGGCACACTGATGTTGAAAGTCCCAGATGGAGGAGTTTCATCATCAGCTTATTTGAGATGATGTTATTAAATGCTGAACTAAAGTCCACAAATTACATCCTAACATAGGTGTCAGGATACCCCAACTGTGTCAAGGCTATTTGCAGTTCAATGGACACAGCCTCTTCTGTGGACTGATTCCCCCATAGGCAAACTGGTGCCTGTCCAGACCAGTAGGAAGGCTGCCCTTGATGTGTCTTAGGAAGATCCTCTCAAAGCATGTCATGATGACTGGGCTCAGTGCAATTGGGCAGTAAACACTTAAGCAGGTCACAGCTGATTTTTTTTTTTGGCAAAGGCACAATAGTGGAGGCCTTACGTAAGGCAGACAGGAAAATTGGTAAGCTGTGGGATCATATTGAAAATGTCTAAAAAAGGCCCTTGCCAGCTGGTCAGCACATGAACTCAGAGTCATTCCCGACACCTTGTCCAGTCCAGCCTTATTCCCTTTTTAAGGTCTCTTTGGGCATTACTGTAAACCAGCCTGTCCTTTGACTTGTAGGTTGGGTCTCATGCTTTAATCAAAGACAGCACTGTACAGTACCATCCTTCCATTGCTTCTGATTAGGAAAAACCTTGACAGTCTTAGAAAGTAGGACAGCATCTGTTTAGATATACAAAATGCACATTACTCACTTCTATTTAATCATGTCAGCTAAATCAGCAAAAACTGAGGCATGGTGCTAAACTGTAGTGTATTTTTGCTTTGACATTCAGATTTTCTCTCTCCAAATATGTTTCTGTTCACTCCTTGCATATTTGAAACAAATCAGTCAAATCAGTTTCCTGGCATGAGTAACAGGGCCTTGCTCTTATGTTGCTGGAATTTTGAACATGTTAAAAAATAGTGAGGCAATATTTTTCTGTCAAATGAATCACATACGTGTTGCAGGTGTGTGAAACAAGTTTCAAATAAAGATAGTTCTCAATGAATCAGAAAGCTTGAAATGTGTTAAACCAACTTTTTTGAAACCAAACTGTGACTGACTGACAACAAAAACAGTAAATCGTCATTTTGTGATTAAATAGTAACAAAAAATCATTTATTGGTATTTTATAGGAATGGGGTGGTGTGTGTGTGTGCTATATGCAAAATTTACTTTTTGAGCTTTATATCATGTTATGTCATTCCCTCATCAACAACATACTGAGTGTTGCTTTGATTCATTCATGCATGTTTGAGAAATCCTTGAATCTCCTGTGGTAGCCATGTGGAGCTGCCCAAACACTTGCTGGTACAAAGCATCATGTTTAACGCTTCTCACCAGAGCTCCATCTGCAGCCAAGCTCCTGCCCCAAAGAGCATCCCTCCCCCAAAACATTGTTGTGAAGATGTGTCGAAGTGGGAGTGTCAGAAATTGTAGGAGGTTCTTAAAGAGACAGAGGCCAATTTCAAGCTGTTTAGATAGGCCTATGGTGCAAAGTCAGTTTTATTTTTGATAAATAGTACAGAGTTTTTATAACTGAAGGTAACATAGCTACTTGACTGTGGTATAGAATTGAACTATGTGCCTGAAAAATGCACACCACACCTTCCCCCTCCATTTATATGACAAATTTTTACAATTTACATGTTGCATTCAAAAGATTTTTATTCTGCCTCATAAATTTCAACAAAACTTTGAGCTAACTTGAATCAAATTTCCTCACTGTTTTGTACTTTCTTGTTGCTAGAAGATCCAACAGAGAACTCACTGACACAGCTTATAGCTACAGTATTAGCACACTGATTAACCAGCATTAACCACAGTTTCCATGGGGGTCCTCAAAACATTCTCCATTGCAATTTCCTTTGGAGTAATTCCAATTGAAGGCAAGATTGTAATCTACTAAAATATTCTTCATTTGACATCACAGCTCAGATTTTGATGATCAGTTACCTTAGTTTTTAAACTGTAAATAGATTGTGTATAATTTCTCTGAAGTAGAACTAGAGAGATCCTAAGTACCACCAGTGGTACTTGGACTCTATTTGAGAACCAGATTGTATTTTGTGTAGATTTTGTTTTATCTATTTATTTCTTTGTAAATTTGGAAATGGTTGAAGCTTAAGTTTGTTTGTTGGATTAAGTTGGTTTTGAAAACAAGGAGCAGATATAATGAGAACTTTTCTTCACTCTGCACCCTTTTCATTAACGGCATGATTTACTTTTTTATTTTTATTTTACTGTATACAAATTGCGTTTTCATGATTGGAATAGACTGAATAGACTCTAAACTAAACTCAGCCAAAAATGTGTTTTGACGCAACATCTATGAGTAAAATCATCATCTGTATGTTTGTATGTCTTGATTCAAATCACTGAAAGAGACAACTATATGAACACCAAYGCAAACATTTAGGCACCTCAAAAAAGCAGTATCTACATAAAGTTATATCAGAATGTTTAAATGCATTTTATTTCTTCCTCTCTAAAAATATGTTTTGTTTTACCTTCATTACAATCTCATCACTCAGACAATACTTTCTGTATAATTAATTTACAACCCACAAACTAGTAATTAAGATTAGCTAAATTTCTCAGGAATATACATAATTTTACTTGTAATTAGTAGCAGATAATTAATGTCATTAACATTTGCACTGCTTGTTTACAATACACCTGTAAGCAACTCATTAAACAAAACACATATGAAAAAAATGGCAGGTTTCTGTTCTAAAGAAGAATTGTGTGAAATGAAAGGATTGTCACAGCTAAAGTGTATGCATAAAGATCGGCTCTGACAGCTTAGTGTCTTGATTAGTTAGCCGATGAGGCATTTATGTCAACAACATCATAGTGGAGGAGCATCAGCCGAACATACAGACAGCTCTACACATCGTAGCAATACAGGATGTCCTRTGAATAAAGCACCTCCTGCCATCATTCTGCCTGCGCTAATTTGCCCTTGAACGTTTTTTTCCCAGCACTGTTAACAACCCGTCAGCCTCACTGACACATTTACAACCAAATATTTACTTTGATAAACACAGGCAGCTTGTTAGATGTGTCACATCAAAGGAAAGTGGGTAAAAGCGGACATTTCTCACGCCTGCGTGTTTTACCTGTTACAGTCGACGTGCAGMAGTAGGTGGGAGGTGCTGATGGTGAGGGCAATTTTGTGCCACTGGCCATCAGCTAGCCGGTAAGGGAAGGACTCAGATCGCGGCTTGCCTTTGAAGCGGTAGTGGTAGCGGATTTCCTCTCTCACTCCGCTGCTTTCCAGCTCAAAGTAACTGCAGGGGAAAGAAGAGAAAGATCATCAGATTCCAAGAGAATCTTGTGCAAACACACAGCGAGAACAAGATATTTTCAACTGGTTCTCTTCATTATAACTTTCATAAGTTATTTATATTTAGTACAAATGCACTGAAGTATTTTTAATAAGCAAAGTTTCTTCCATTTTAAAAAGTAATCTCACGTATCTGCATAGTGAGGGGAAAAAACTTTCTTGGGTTTTTAAGCAGCTGAGTTTGAACTCACCCTGCAGCATTAGCCAAGACAAAGAGAGAAAACTGACACTTTTAACTTGTTTAAAATTAAATAAATGCATCCATTAAAAAAAATAATAAATCAATGCAACCTGCTCAAGCTGAAAATAAATTCATTTAACTATAAAAAAAAGTTGGAATCTGCAGAAATGTATATTTTGGTCCTGCAATGGTAATAAATAAATAAATAAATAAATAAATAAATAAATAAATAAATAAATAAATAAATAAATAAATAAATAAATAAACAAACAGGATGAGCACAGGGCTGCATTTTAAATTGTCCTCCAGTAGCAGAGAAGCAAAGACATCTGTGAACAGTGGGTGAGTTTTATTGCATAATTGGCTTGAATGGAGCCTAACAGTGTGATTTAATCAATCATACTCTTTAAGACACGGTATAATGTTTGTTTTTTACAGTGTACACACTAGTTTTCCATATGGCTTTTGTTTATTTCAAATAAAACAAATGCTGTCTTAGTCACCACGTTTTATTTTGGCAAAAGAAAACCTCCCATAAAAGAGAACATTTACCAGTAATTAGATTCATGTTCCACCAGTATTACCTGCAGAGAGTGAAAATGCATGTTCTGTACTCTGTGAATAACCAGTTTGCAGCAGAACGTTCGACAGTATCACAAACAACCAAGGCACAAAACTGACACAAGGCTGAGGCACAAAAAGCTGCAGCTGTCTGAGAAATTCTGTGACAGGAGGTATCTGTGCAGGCTGCTGCCATCTCTCATGGGAAGGTGTGAAATAATCAAAAACAATCAGTTCGGACAGCTTAAGCAAGAGCTGCATGAATTTAAACTTTGTTTGTTGTTCACCTGATTACAGTGATATTTTAGGAAATTATTTCTTATCAGTTTTTAAGCTTGTAGTTGATAACTTGTGGCCTTTGTTGTCAGCAGAGACAAAGAGATCAGTCTTTTGTATCTATTAGTATTTTTTTTTTGCTTAAGAAAATATAATGTGAAAAACCTTTTGATGTCACGTACCTTAGAACTTTATTCAGTCTGGACACGAGCTAATAAATATTTTTCTTCATATTTAACAAGACATATTTCTTTGACCCCACTTYCCAAAACAAACAAGGCCACAGAGACCCAATTGTTCAAGCAAAAGTGTAATTTAATAAAATATGCAATTAATGATGATCAAATTATTTGAATACCTTCATAGCTACTTCAAACCCTTGTGATAATTATTGTTTTAATTAATTTTTAATCTAATATTTATATTGTAAAATACGCTTATGTATGTATATCTATTT